GCGAGTATGTGTGCGATGTGCACCCACACACACGCACACGAGGAATGTTAGAATTTTAAAATGAATTAAATCCTGTCATCTGCCACATGGATAAAACCCCGAGGGGATCATGCTAAAGTAAAATAAGGCAGGAAAAGAAACACTGCTGGTTGTTGCCGAGGGGCGGAGGGATGGCAGGTTGTAGGTCAAGGGCACAGACGTCCAGTTAGAAGAGGAGTGAGTCGTGGGGACGTGATGCCCAGCATGGTGTCTGCAGTTTCTACCGTATTGTATACAGTAGATCTCATAGATCGCACACCCCGTACACAAAAAGTGTGTGAGGTGATGGGGGTCAGCTAGCACCAGAGACACCTGTGTCCAGTCCACACTTTTGCACCTACACAGTGTCGTGTGTCTCAGTAAGCTGGGGGCGAGCGTGTGTGTGCTTGGATTCTCGGTCGTGCGGACTGGCGGCAGGCCACCGAGGAATGACGACAGGCCTGGCTGTAGGGTAGCTGTCGGCTCGCCGGGATTCCTGTGAAGCTCGGCTGTGAAGCTCGGCCCCTGTCACCTCCACACCCTCCTCCACACCTCCACCTCAAACCTGCTGTACGGCGAGCACGGTAACCACTGTGGCTTCCTGATTTCTTTGTTTTAGGAACTAACACACAGTGAAAGCCATCTTCCTCCTGAATTTCCTTTTCCACCTTTTCTCTACTGAACAAAACAAGGAAAAACATGCTTTTAGAAAGCATTAAGACATCAAGAAATTCTCACAGCGCGCCTCCCGCCGCAGCGCACTTCCCTGCGGTGGGCGCAGTCTAGGGGAAATGGGCACCCTTGGCTAAGAGAACAACTGGCGTTTGTCAGGAGGGCCTCTTCTGCACCTCCAGAGGCTCGTGGGCCCTCGGCCCGGCTGTGTGCGCGGGAGCCGGGCTCCCCGCGGTCTGAGCGTGCTGTCTGCGATCACCGGGCCGCCTGGACCGGCTCCCCTTTGAAGCTGTCGAAGCTAGCGGCTCCTTCCAGCCTCCCGTTCCTCAAATGAGGATCTGTCTGTGGCCCAGATGGGTCTTCGATGATGCCTTCGCTGTCGTGGCCGACTTGGGATGAACACGGAATTACTCTGAGCGAGCTTACCAGATTGCTGTCTACGGGCAGAGGCCGTGGGAACCACCGAGCAAGGCAGCGTGCAGCCTGCCTCGACTTTACATCTTTCCAGCGACTGGCAGTAGGGGGGGACGAGAAACGTCCTCCGAGGGCCTCCAGTTCCAAAGGAACCTGACGGGCGACTCTCGGGGCCTGTGCGCTGGTGCTACCGTTGCTGGCTTTGGCTCCGAGTGCTCCGCTGTGACCGCTGTCATGTCCGCGACAGGCTGACAGCACTCCGGGGGCCACACGGCACGTGCCGGAGGTGCCCGACCTGACCAGAGCCCAGTGAGTGTGCTCTGGGGGCGGTGGGCGCAGGGTGGCCCCTCGCTCCCCAGCCCCGCATCCTTCCTGGACTGGCGGTCGGGCTGTGCTCCCCAGGCCTGCCTCCTGTCTCCTGCTCACCTGCTGCCCGTCGCCATGCTGCTTACGCCGGAATAGGATGGCCGTCGCAGGTTTGGCACGAAGAGGCAGAGGTGAGGGGAGGCCACACTTGGATCACTGCACCGTGAGGCGGGCTGTGGGGGGCCGTGTGGTATTTCCAGAAGCCCCTCCAGCCATGCAGAGACAGCCGTTCAGAAAAGGCCAGTTGTCCTCAGGTGTTAGATGTTTTGAGGAGCCTCTCACGGGCTCAGAGTAAATAAGCAGCAGCCTCGCTCTTTTCCGTGGCTCACAAGGCAGTGCTTCACCTGCACGTCCCTGTGCAGCGTGGTCCCGGGCACTCAGCTGAGGGCACCGCAAGACCACATGTCTCCACCTGTGTCCCCTAAGAAGTGGTCTCAAAGGTTAAAGCCAGCCTTATTATTTTTTTTTTTTTTTTTGAGAGACAGAGACACAGAGCATGAGCGGGGGAGGGGCAGAGAGAGACGGAGACACAGAATCCGAAGCAGCTCCAGGCTCCGAGCTGTCGGCACAGAGCCCGACGCGGGGCTCGAACACACTGACCACGAGATCATGACCTGGAGCTGAAGTCGGACGCTTAACCGACTGAGCCACCCAGGTGCCCCAAGCCTTGTTTATTTTTAAATGAAATTCTAGAAGAAATCACGTAGAATTACAGGCGCTGATACGGTGAGACGAAGCTTCCGTGCCACATGAGGCCCCCCGGTTGTGTGTCTGTCTGTGTGTCCTGTTCTGGGTGCTCCGCTCCCCCGTGCCTGCCTCTTATGCTCTCCCGTCCTCCCGAGTGTTGCTGTCTGCCCTGTGGTGACCGCCACCGGAGGGACTTTGCAGATGGGCGAGGTTCCCAAGTTCCAGCACTGGAGCCTGGGTGCAGCCTGGGACTGCGTGGCCAGCACTCCCGGGCGGCAGCTGCTGGCGCTGGGGACACGCTCCGAGTTGCGGGATACGGGACGCGGACTCCGTGCGTCTCCCCTGCCCTGTCGTCTTTTTACTTTGCTTTTTATCTTCCACCACTCTTTTTCTGAATGACAGCAAAAGGAATCTTTTTTCTTCTCACAAGGAAATACAAGTGTTTCCTGTCACTTTAGCAGGAGTCAGAGATTTCCTCACAGGTGACCTCGGAAATCTTTCCTCGTACTCGAAGACAGAGATGAACATCCTTTGCGGGGAGCAGGTGTGTGTCCCGCCTTAGAACATACCAGTACCTTTGGCTGAAAGGGAGCCCGGGAGCTTCGTTCACTGGACGCCTTTCGCAGCTGGCGCCCTTCAGTCACAAGTTAGAGTCTGGGAGACCAGAAGGAAACCGTGTCTGACACAGCGGCGTGTGACTTTGAATATAGGGAAGGTATTTTCAAACACATCGCCATCTGAGGCATTTTTCGTACCCCTCCCATGAGCCGGACGTGGGTCAGCCCCTTCCCACGCTCCCCCGTTCACAGAAGCAAAGCGTGCTGCTGCCTCAGTTTCCCCACTCGCGCGCTCCCACGCCTCGCTGCACGTGGCCACCCATGTGCCTGCTCTCGCCCTGCCCTTCGTTTGCCCCTGCTTCTCCGTGCGGGGGGCCCTCTGGTCTTCTGTTTAAGGGGATACGAAATCTGTGGAGTTTCTTTTGTCCAAAGACGTCTTTATTTTGCCTCCAGTTTTGAAATTTTTTTTTTTTTTAACGTTTATTTATTTTTTTGGGACAGAGAGAGACAGAGCATGAACGGGGGAGGGGCAGAGAGAGAGGGAGACACAGAATCGGAAACAGGCTCCAGGCTCCGAGCCATCAGCCCAGAGCCTGACACGGGGCTCGAACTCACGGACTGCGAGATCGTGACCTGGCTGAAGTCGGACACTCAACCGACTGTGCCACCCAGGCGCCCCTTGTCTCCTCCAGTTTTGAAGAGAACACCTTGGGTGGCGGTTCTGTCATTTCTCTGTGGTGCTGTCCCGCTGTGTCCTGGCGCCCGCCCTGCCCCTGCCCCTGCCCTGGGGGCTCCTGCTCTCCTGGGGCAGCCAGTGTTAGGCCCGGATGCACTTTGCATGCGAGTCTTACAGCTGCGACCTGCTCACATCTGGCCGTATCGTTCTGTCCTGTGTGCTGGGGTTTCCGCCACACGTGTGAGCTGTGACTTTCCGTCCGTCCGTCTGTCTGTCCTCACGGTCCAGCGGGTGTTTTCTACCAGCCGCTTTCCAGCTGCGACTCTTCTGCCGAGTCCACCTTGGGGGCTCTAATTTTCATTATCACATTTTGCAGTTACAGAACTTCTACCTTATTCTTTCTGGCAGATCCGATTCTCTGCTGAAATTGTCCGCAGGGAATACCGTGTGGTCTCCTGACCGGGGCGGTATCGGCACCCCACCCCCACCCCGGGGTGCCGGTCCTGCTCTTACCTCCTTTGCTAAGCCAGTTCTTCTCTCTTTCCCTCTTGGACTCTAGACCCTGTGTGTGGAAACCTCAGGTGCCATGAGGCTCTGTGTGGGGCTGTCTCCCACCGAGGGTTGTTGTGGGGCGGACCCCGCCCGTTGCAGGCTGAGTCGCTTCGAAGCTGGCCTTCCCTGTCCCATAGCCGGTTAACTCTCGGTGCTGGGGGCAGCCCAAAGTCCGCGGTGCTTCCACAGCCTCTCCTCCTCGGTGGGCGTGGAATTGCAGAGTGCTCCACGCAGCACCGCGCCATGAATCGGAGCTGCCGTCCCCTCGGGGTCCAGGCAGCCGCTCACGGCAGGCACACGACTCAGGTGAAGGGCCGCCCCGAGCTGGGTCTCCACACGCCCTTCTCTCCGGGACCTTTGTCCCGGCTTCGGGGTGGTTCCCTGATGCCTTTAAGTGGACTTTCTGAAATGCGGCTTTTCTCGTTTTTCGGAGCCCGGTGGTCAGTTACAGAGCGGTTGGCTGCGGCCTGCGGCAAAGGTCCTATTTTGTACGTTTGCGGCCCCCCAGCGCGTCCGGAACACCCGGAAGGTCCCGGCCACGGGGTTGTATCTCAGCCGTTGCATGTTCCACGCTCTTGGGCAAACGTTCCAGACGGGTAGCGTTTTCTCACCGGCCGCCATACTTTGTTCTGACTAATTCGTGGTTCCAAAAGTGCTCGTACTGAGCTTTCCGAGAACGCATGTTACGTCAGTTCGAGTCGTGGGCGTGAAAGTGAACGGTGACAAAGCAGGAAAGAGAAGGATGGCTGGCTTCTAAGTAGGCTGGGGTGAGACCAAGTCCCACACTTGCCTGTTGGTCTTTGGGGACAGCCCAGGGGCAGAGGGAGGGGCCGGAGCAGAGGTCAGGACGCCTTGACCCCGGCACGCCCCGTGGCGGCTGTGGGCCCCGTGTCCACCCCCCCGCCACGCCCCCCACCTGCTGGCGGGGACACCATGAGGCCCACAGGCCCCTGACGACGGAGGCGGCAAGTTGCGGCGTGTGCCACACGCTTGGCCTGTGGCAGGGCCGCCCTTGGAAGACAGAACTAAGGGGTTTGCGTTTGTTTTGTCCTGCTCAGATCACCCGAAAATTCCGGCTGAATTCTGACGGCAAACTCGAACAGACGGTCTCCATGGCAACCACTACCCAGCCCATGACTCAGCATCTTCACGTCACCTACAAGAAGGTGACCCCGTGACCCCGAGCGTGTGTTGTGACCCTTCGGCTTCCCCGTGGACGCCCGCAGCAGGTGTGGGTGTGGCCGCAGGTCTCCGTGGGCTCCCGCGTGTTGCCACGTGTTCCTGTAACGGCGTAGAAAAACCAAATAAAAGGCCTTTATTTTTATGACGGAGCATTTTGAATATTGTCCCTCGTGTAGACTGTGCGTTTCTTCCATCTGCCGGTGGCTGCTTGTTTTCCAGTCTTTTCCCTAAAAAATTAAGGAGTGACTCTCGTGTTCCCTCACCTTTTCTTCTGGTAGTTTTGGCAAGATCTAAAATACCTATAAATCTTCAGTGGGGGAGCCGACAACCAACGCGTCACAAAGGGGATCAGTTACTTTATGACTTTAGAGCTGACGGTCTCGGGGCCCCATCTGCACAGGTGAAGGGCGTTCCCGCGGCCGTGAGTCCCTCACACCCCCCGCCGTTCTGTGCGGACCGCTGCTCTCATTTCTGTGTGTGTTGTGCAGTCTCCCAGCCACCCAGCCGTCCCCCTCCCAGGGCTTCGTCCCTTCTCCCTTCTTTTCGCTGGAGTATTTTTAAACAAATTCCCGGCGTTTCCACCAACTGCTTCAGTGTGCATATCAAAGCAAAACAAACCGTTTGCTTCCTCCTAACACCCCACCTTAAAAGCCCAGCCCTGAAGTGGAGCCCACGTGAAGGGAGGTGGTGCCCCAGCCCCAGGGAGAGGAGGACCAAGCCTCGCCCACCCCCCCCACCCCGGGCTTGGGGACAAAGGCGGTACCAGGTGAGGTGGCCAGTACCTAGGAGCTCAGGAGGGACCAGGACTGGTGACCCAGGGACCAAGGGGCCAGGGAGGTTGCTGCAAGCCAAGTAAATCCAGGGCAGGAGACTCGTATGAAGTCATCCTGAGGTGAAGTCCCCTCTAGCTGCGTGTGAAACCAGACAGTTGAGGTGCTTCCCGAACATGGCAGGCCAGGGACAGTGTGGACGCTCCCCGGCAGGGCCAAAACCTGAAGGCGGCAGAGTCCCGCTCTTTGGCTCCGGGCCTGCCCGGAGGCCTGCAGGGTGGAGGCCCTGCCTCCCCAGCTTTGCTGGATGCAGCCCACACGCGGCTCCCTGGGACGCGCTCCTGTGGGATTACGCGGCTGTGCCGCGTAGATTATATGCACTTCTCTGGGGTCTCTGCGGCTGGAATCACGCCAGCGGCTCCACCCGCGTGGGGCGTGGGTCTCTGCCGAGACTCCGGGCCACTTCACCCTCCAAAGTCTAGGGGGAAGTAGCAGAGCCCCTCTGGTTAGGATTTCAGCATCTGGGCTTTGGGGAAAACAAACATTTGGACTTTAGCACCGGAGGCCCCGGAAGCCGGCAGGGCGGCCTCCACCCGCGGCCCTCCCGCCCAGAGCTGCTTTTGGGGTGGGCTCGGAGCCCAGGACCAGAAGCAAACATCCAGCACGGTCTGGTCCCTCCCCCGTGCTGTTTGGGAACGGGGTCTCTAAGCCCGGAAGGTGTTCCCCAGGCTGAACTGGGGGTGTGTCTGTCTCGTTCCTCCGTCCCTTCTGTCCCCGTGGATGGAAGTTCTCACTGGACTGTGTATGCCCAGAACTTCTGTCGCCACTCCGGCAGTCACCTGTCCAACTGCCGCCCTTTGCTGATGCTAAAATTAAGAGGCCCCAGTGGTGGGGGGCTGACCCATCTCTCACCGGGGAGTCCGCCACCATGGGGGATCTCTTCCTGAGCCAGCCCCACGGTCAGCGCTGCAGACTGGCCGCCTTACCACTGTGGTCGTTTCTTTATTTATACATTTACGTCATCTCCACGCCAACATGGGGCTTGAACTCACAGTCCCCCAATCAGCAGGCATGCTCCTCCCAGCAGCCGGGCACTTTTCTTTTTCCTTTTTCAGAGTCATTGTATTTTATCGGGTCTGGCATCTTTTTTATTTAACAAAATAGAGGAGCCAAAACTGCAAACCGGTCAGCAGTGTCCTGATGGGAAGAGGGGCTCCGCTCCCTCCGACCCTTCCCACCCGACGAGCTGAGCGGCATGGAGCAAGCACGGCTGCTGACAGCGGGTAGGACCCAGGTCCTGCGACTCCTGCCTCCTGCGTGTGTTCAGGGGCATCTGTGGATCAGGGAGACCCCAGGTAGGAGCTGAGGAGTCAGCTCCTGGGTAGATCAGAGATCCCAGCGGATGCCCACCTTGGACGCCATGCCTGCCTCCCTCCTTCCCCTTCTGTGACTCGTTCATGCCTGCAGCGCTGGAGAGACAGAAAGGAAAACCAGTTGCAGCCGTCAGAGGGGGAGGCTGAGACTCCTGCAGGTGTCAGCGGGGCGCCTCCCGCCACATTCCCCGGCAGCCCTGCCACCACCCACACAAACAGGAGAAGGAAAGGCAGGGATTCCAGGGACAAGCCAGACGTTGGGATCCCAGGCTCTCTGGAAAACTGAGGAGACTATGGAAATTTCTGGGGCATTTCCAAGGAGACAGCGTCTTCAGAAGAGCCTGGAAACTCCTATTCTGACAGCCTGGGGTGGCGGGGGTGCAGAGCCATAGTCCGTATCGCAGAGCTGCTGACCACCTCCAGGCCTCTCTGCGCTCAACCCAGCCACCCGCGACCTACCCGCTGGCTCAGGCCTGACATTTCCCCTCCACATCCTCGTCCCCTCCTACAAGGCTCTCAGAGGCCCTGGTCTAAAAGGCCAGTCAGTGCCATGGACAGAGTAGCCTGTCTGAGAAGGAAATCGTAGGGGAAATGCATGAGATCACGGATGGGGAAGCGCCACAGCAGCAGACATTCTGTCTAGTGTTGTAGTCTCTGGAGTGGGGATGGGCGGCGGAGAACCACTCACTTCCTATCGCAGGGGCCCCCTCAGCACCGCTGTCAGGCAGGAGGGGTGGGAGCTCTTGGGAGTGGGGAACACCCCACGGACACACTGCCTGCCCACTCCCTGGCCCCTTTAGCTCCAGCCATCTGGACCACTAAATCCCCAGGCTCTTCTACAGCCCCCAGGGCAGGGCTGGGAAGAGAGGGACAAGTCCTGCCACCTCTAGGGCCAGAGCATGGTCCCCGGGACACCTGACCCCCTCTCTTGAAGGACTGGCTACATGACAGTCAGAGAGCTGCATGGACCTCACACTGTTCTCTTCCTGGAGCCGTGGTGTGAGCGGCAGATGGGAGAGAGAGAGGAATGGAAAGGCTTGTCAGAGACCCGGAGAGAGGCATTCAGAGGCGGAAGGGACAGGCCTCCCCACCAACTGCTTTGTTTTAAGTAATCTCTGTGCCTAACACGGGGCTCCAGATATCGACCCCAAGGGGCACCTGGGTGGCTCCGTCGGTTAAGCATCCGACTCTTGATTTCAGCTCAGGTCATGATCTCGCGGTTCACGAGATCAAGCCCCAAGTCGGGGTCTGCACTGACAGCACAGTCTGCTTGGGAATCTCTTTCTCCCTCTCTGCCCCTCCACCGTGCACGCGTGCACACACACACACTTTCTCTCTCTCTCTCTCTCTCTCTCTCTCTCAAAATAAACATTTAAAAAACAAAATATTGGCCCTGGGATGAGTCACATGCTGCCCCCACTGATCCGGCCAGGCACCCCAACAGCAGTCACTCCTGCACTGGGGGATGAATTGTCAGGAAGAAACTCCTTCCGCGTGCAGCAGGCTGAGCCTGGTCGCCCTGAAGTAACTTCCCAGCAGAAAGCCGGCCGCCATTTGCGTCAGAAAGCCCTAGCACCTCAAGTGGAGGCCCACACCCAAGGCTCCTCTGCTCCTCCTGCTGCCCGGAACCTGTGATTCGGGTCAAAGGGGGCGGGAGGTGCTCAGAGGACAGGAGGTCGAGGGTGGGAGGTCAAAGGTGGTGGGAGGTGCTCAGAGGCCAGAGTGCACAGCTGTGTCCCGTGGCCTCCGCTCTGGTGGCGGGGTGCTCAGAGGCCGCAGGCCCACTGCCCTGCTTCCCGCCTGCGTGGGCAGAGCCAGAAACGGAGTTACACTTCATGGTCTCGGCACCGCCGTGGCCCGTTTGAGGTCGCCACGCAGTCGGCGCCTTCCCCGTGGCTGCCTCAGCACAGGGGACTCACATTCGTGTTTACGGGGAAAAGCGTAGCATCCGTGCCGTCTCCAGTTCACGCTCTAGGAGCGCAGAACTTTTCACCTAAATTCTTTGATCTTACCTCTTCTAAGGTGAAAAATCTTGGTTCTTTGCAATATTAGTTGCTTTAGTCTCCAGGTACATAGCGTTTTCAGAGGAGTAACACTGTGACAACGGACCGAGCCGGACGTCTGCAGTTTTTCCTTTTGGTTTTGCCCCTTCCCAGCAGAGAGAGCGAGTCCAGATACAGTCGAACTGGACTCCTCGGTTTCCCTGGTGCTTCCGGCACCGGCTCGCCACACGAGCTTCTTGCGTAACTCTCTGATTGACTCCGCGAGGTGGCTCTGCTTACGCAAAACCCCCGACGTGACTTTATTGCCAGGACTGTAAAATAGGGCCCACTTGCCCGCCCCCAGCTGCAGGTGCTTCTGGGGCAGCCAGGCCACGGCTCACCAAGCGGGTCCCCTCCCGCCGGACGCCCACCCCGCTTCCGGTCTTCGGCGGGCCTAACGATGTCCCCACCAGTAACCTGCCGCTTTGGGTTTCTGCCGGCGCACGCAGGCGGGACGTCCAGGAGGGGGGCTGCCAGCCCAAGGCCAGCGGCACAGGGGACCCGACCCCTCGGGGCTGTGCCCTCCACCCCCACGGCTGTGGGAGGCCGCCTGCCCCACCAGCCGGGCGCTCGTCAGGGAACGGGAGCTGGGCTAGCTGGGGTTTGCATTTCTCTCATTTTATTTTTTTCTTCTGGGTTTTTGTAGCCGGTGCACTCTTGAATTTGGAATATTAATCCTGACATGAACGTTCAGTTACAATTTTTTTATTGAGGGAAAACACACTGTTATGACATAAAGTTCGCCATTTTAACCAGTAACTAAAGTACAGTTTAGCGGCATTTAGTACCTTCATCCTCCTGGGCAACCGTG